TTCTAAATCTGTCAATAGATAGCATTTTAATTCTACTTTAAGCATGTCTAATTTAATTTGGGTACATTTATTTCTTGCAAGCATAGTTTAAATTGCAGGTAATTTAGAATAATTAGGATTTGTTAATTTTTAGTCACGGTAGTGTTTTAAGTCCTTGGAGTTGTCCACGGCAGATTTCATAACCCATTCTGCAGGAAGGTATCCCTCCCTCTTGCAAATCGTCTGAAGGCGCAATTTCAATTTTAATCCAACGTTCTTCCCGCCATCTGCAAAGAGGTCGACCGTGAGGAAGGAGAGGGTCGTTGGGAAAGTCCTTTTTTACTTTCAGCAAAGTAAGTGGCACGCCCGCATCCAGATTTCACACGTGCGAGGCCACTAGAGGATTTTTGAGGAAACAATCCTTTTTTGGCACGCTTGGTGGGACATCATCGTTTCTTACTTACAGTTTTCAGATCCGTTGTTCTTTTTTCCAAGAAAAAGTGCAATTATGCCACCAAAAAGAAACATTGGAAAGGCTGTCCAGACTTTACAGATTGGGCTTGGTGAAGGCAGTTCAGGACACTCAGAATGAGAGAATGAGCCAATCGTTCCACCACTATTGTCACCAATACTTGGGGAGCATTCTTTTGTCAATCCTACCTTCAACAAGGATTGTGAATCTGGAGATGATGTTGCTCAATCTAGTGATTCCCTTGTGAAAGCTGTGTCAGATCAGATTAGCATCATGAGGCACACACTGTTGGAATCTGAGGAGAAAGCTCGACAAAGAAGCCAAGAGGTTGCTAGACAGTTGGATGAGTCTTTTCAAAATCTGGCTCAAAATTTGGCTCAAAGTGTAGCCTAAAGTGTAGCCGACATACGGCGATCCAATGAAGAAAGTGCCAGAATTTGGCGCGAACAAAATGCAAAAAATTGGAGAGCTTTCCAAGCTGAAACAGAACGAATGCAGGAGGCATTTCGATGTGTCAGAATTGAGCCTCAGCCACAAGCAGCAGATCTTCAAAGGCAGAATCAGAATATTCCAGCTCTAGCACTCGAGGGGCAAGTTAATCTGCCACAACCACCTCCCCAAATTTAGTAGGCAACAGGCGGACCAGTCCAACCAGATCCTATTGAGGCAGCACCACGTGCAGCAGAATTGGGAAATCACCAGCATCCCAGATATCTGCCGCCTCCGCGTCGACCAAATGGAGGACATCAACAACATAATGCACCTCCACAAAGGGAGCATTTTCAGCCTTATGTGCCACCTGTGCAGCAAAATATTCAAAATATGCCAGGATAGTACATCAATTGTGATCAGATCATCGACATAGTGTAGGAGGCTTATGGTCCAGTTTTGAGGCCTCTAGTCAAACCAGCTTACAGAAAACCATATCCAGATTTCATAGACCAAAAAAATCCTTTTCCAAGGAGGTTTAAGGTTCCAGAATTCACTCTATTTTCTGGAGATGGTGGATATTCTACAATTGAACACATAGGCCACTTCACAATTCAGTGTGGCGAGGCCTCCGGTGATGATAATTTGAAGCTCAAACTTTTTCCCAGCTCATTAATTAGTACAGCTCTCACCTGATATCTGAGTCTGCCACAGAATTCAGTTTATACTTGGAGGCAGATGGAAGATCTTTTTCACATCCAATTCTACCGCAGTGAGCCAGAAGTGTCCATGGCAGATTTATCTCGTCTGGTGCAGCGACCTGAAGAAACATCTAAGGCCTTTCTGGCCAGATTTCGGAAGGCCAGACTTAAGTGCAGAGTCGCCCTACCAGAACAGGAATTTGTCAAGCTGGCACAAAATGGTCTGGATATTGAGTTAAGGAAAAAGTTTGAGGGAATGGAGTTTCGTGATTTCTTTGAGTTGTCTTACAAGGTGGCTCGTTATGAAAATTTATTGCGAGAGGACACACAAAGGAAATCTACATCTCATGGGACTTATTATGGTGATGCTAACTTTGATCTGGACGTGGCAGAAGTGGTGGCAGACAAGCCAGTTGTTTGCCCAGATTTGGTTAAAGTGGCCCAACAAACCGACAGAACAGTAAAACGTTATGTCGGAGAGGCTGGAAAACAATACACCTTTGACATTTCAAAAACTAATGAAAATTTTGACCACCTTAAAAAGAGTGGTCTAATTAAGTTGTCTCCGGGACATAAAATCCCAATGGCTAGCGAAATTGGAAGTAGAGAATATTGCAAATATCACAATTCTTGGAAACATTCCACTAATGATTGTGTGATTTTTCGGAATGTTTTACAGGATAAAATCGACAAGGGAATTCTGCGTTTTCCAGATAAGGCCAAAGAAACTATGTGAGTTGACGTAGATCCATTCCCTAGCATGTCTGTTGGGGTGAATGTAGCAGATCTCAGGAGCATTGCCAGCGACAGAACTCAGACATACTATAAGCGCAGACTTGCAGCTGATGATCTGAGGTGGGTCATTGAGGAGGCCAGGGCCCGTAGAAATCAGGTTAGATCAAGCTCATACCGAAGGAGACAGCCTGGGGGGCACAACTCAACTCAACAGAAAAATAATGCAAACCAGGGAACTGCGATATCTAGACGCGTAGAAAAGCCCAGAATGGTGAAACCACCACCTAGATCTCTAAGCAAACGGTGGGAACGTGTGGTGCATCCAAAATTTCCTAAGGGTCAAAACCCAAGGACCTTGAGGAGGCGTTTACAACGGAAAAAGGCTATAGAAAGACACCGACAGCAGATTACAGACTCGGGGGGCATGGCAGATCAGGCTCAGCCGCTCCCAGCAAGAAGAAAATCAGTGTGGGTCCATAAAGAAAAAGGGAGCACATCTGGTCAGAATGCTCCAGAAAAAGAGGAACCACCCAAAAGTCCAACATCGCCCCGAGTTCTGGCTGTGGAATCCAATGAAGAAACTGGTTTAAAGGCGAAGTTTGACGTGTCAGATAAAGTGAAAAATTCATCAGATGTAATCTGTTTTGGTGAGTTTTCCGTGAATCTATCTTGTTTGGTGATCACTCTTCCTTTGGTCTTTCAAGCAAGAGAGCAGTCAGAATCTACAGTCTGTCACCAGACATATTTGACTAAGGAAGAAGAAGTCATTAAGATCCCAACTAAGAAAGATGGTGGTATGGATTTAGCAGATAAAATCATTTTCGAAAAACCAGAAGAGAGGATGGCCAGACATATCAGGCCATTATACATTCATGCACATTTGGATGGTATGCCGATAAATCGAGTTCTGGTGGATAATGGAGCAGCTATCAATGTTTTGCCAACTTGTATTCTGCACAAAATTGGCAAATCTTTGGGTGATTTAATGGAGACGGAAGTGACAATCAGTGACTTTACCGGGGGAGTAAATCGCTCAAGGGGAATTCTGCCAGTAGAGCTTACTGTTGAAATAGAACTCTCATGTGTGCGTTCTTTATGGTTGACACCATTGCCACTTATAATGCATTGTTGGGGAGAGATTAGATACATTCCAGCTGGTGTGTTCTTTCAACTCTGCATCAAAAATTGATATTCTGGAATGGTGGCAGAACTGAAGTCGTGACAGCAGATGAAAAGCCGTTTGTGGCAAATACCAATGCAGTGGAAGCCCATTATTATGATGAAGATATTGGAACTATTCGTTTCTTTGGGATGGACTGCTATGGCAGACCTTCTGGAATTACTGCTTGCACCAAATCTACAATGGATAGACAGACTGTGAAGGAGGTGTGTGATGAACTACTTCGGCCTACAGCCATTGTTTCTTTAAGGCCGAGGGAGGAGCCTGAAATTGAAGAAATTCCATGAAGAAAGATCGAATTAAGCACAAGAAAAAGGAGGCTGTGGAAGAAATCAAGAGAAAATTAGCAGCCTACCTTGCTGAAAAACAGATCTGTGTAGACAGATTTGAAGTAATCTATGAAGGTGAAGAGGAAGACTTGAAGGATCAAATAACTTTGGAGGAATTAGATTTGGCACCAGCAAAACTTGATGATCTGAAGGCAGAAGTACAAGATCCCCTGGAGGAGGTAAATCTGGGTACTGAGGCAGATCCGAAAATTACTTTTATTAGCGGTTCTCTTGAGCCGTGTTTGCATGATAAAATTATCAATATTTTGCGTGAATACAAAGACTGTTTTGCTTGGGACTATTCTGAAATGCCAGGTCTGGACAGAAATCTGGTAGAGCACAAATTACCAATCAGAGAAGATTTCAAGCCTTTTAAACAGCCGCCTAGACGAATGTCACCAAAAGTCACCTTAAAAGTTAAAGAAGAAATAGAGCGACTGTTGAAGGTTGGTTTCATCAGAACTTCCAGATATGTGAAATGGTTATCTAATGTGGTTCCTGTGGTTAAAAAGAATGGCAAGCTGAGAATCTGTGTAGACTTCATAAATCTGAATCTGACAACACCAAAAGATGAATATCCTATGCCTATTGCAGATTTATTGGTGGATGGAGCAGCACGCCACCGAATTCTGTCATTGATGGATGGCCACAGTGGGTATAACCAGATTTTTATAGCAGAAGAAGACATTCCAAATACCACTTTCCGCTGCCCAGGAGCTATTGGTACGTATGAATGGGTAGTAATGCCATTTGGTTTAAAAAATGCGGGTGCAACTTATCAAAGAGCCATGAAC